TCATCAAGAAATGCAAATGTCGGAATTGTAAGTTTTTCTAAAAAAAAAAAAAAAATACGAATTTTTGAAGCTTATTCGATTATTTATATTTTTTGGGATTTTGATCGGTGACGATGCATTCATCCTCTGTTATTAGCATAGTTATAATCAGTTATATATTACCATTTCTAAATGTTTCATATATAACTTATGCATGAAATATGATTAAAATATCACTGAAAAGTATTTCAAACATTTTCATAAGTCACAGATCACTGTTTGTTGCCTTGAAAATTCTTATCTTTCAGTAGCTCTTTTTCGAAAAGGAGCAAAACAAGTGCAGTTATCCAAACGAATTGGTTAGTTTTGAAAAAAAATTCGGTAACATTCATGTTATCAAAAAAGTAATCCAATGTTTTGCTCTCTACTATCCCTGTTAAACAATCAATTTAACAGTAAGTCAACAACGAAAGAATACGTTTTCGATTTCTTACAAAGAAAGCGAAAAACTTGACGTTTCAATAAAAAGTTTCAGACAGCGACACGAAAAACAGCTACCTAAACGCCTTGGATGATGTTGGTAATAAGAAATGCTTTGCTTGTTTACTGGCTAACATTTTTGATTGCTTACAATTTGGACATTTAACCACTTTGTTTGTTTCATAATTTTCTTCGTACTAGAGCTTCTTTTTTTTGTATTTTCAGCTCGTGCAACACCTGTGTCAAATGCATCAAATGATACAGCTGTACAATTGCGCAGGCTTGATGAACGGTTGGTTTAAAAACAAAATTTTTACAAAATGGTTGCTTGGGATATTTAAAAGTAACCAGGTTATCAGAGGTTAAAGTAATGGAATGATCTAATTGACTGATATCATGAATTCATTTCAGAAATGATCTGAATATGGGATGGAATTAACGCAATTACTAGGAAAATATTATAGTAAATAATCATATAACCTTATGGTGTGAATAAGAATGCAGTAAAGATAACGATAAGAATGCTTATTGTTACAGGCATTCGTTTGGACAAAAGAATTCATTAAGTATACCTCCAGAAGGTGGAACAATTGATTTCAGTAAGGAATTCGAGCAGCAGGATATGAAGTACGACAGCACAGGAATGTTCCACTGGTGTCCAGCAAGAACTCTTGAAGAATGTGTTTTGGTATGCAAAATTTCTCCTAAATTACATGTTTGATGACAGCAATTCGATAAAAGAAAGATGAAATTGAAGCAAAAAATCTAGTAGTTTCTGCGATGGAAAAGATCGTCTTATACTTGTTTTTTCGGTAAATTTCGAATTTGTTTACCGAAGCAGTAATTGTGAAAAAAAAGAAACTAAAGCTGAAATGATAAGAGTATGTATAAACATTCTGGAACATTTTTTAAAATTGTATGTGCGAATTTTTCAGGATCGTCATCAAGCAGCAATGACAGTATTAAACGGACATGTGGTTGTTTGTTTGTTCGCCGATCGTAATTCACCTTTAATTGGTCTTCGCAATTTTGTCATGCCTCTTCGTGCCTCAAATTTCCATTATCATGAACTCAAACATGTCGTTATTGTTGGGGACGTAGAGTATCTGAAAAGGGAATGGAAAACTTTGTATAATCTACCGAAGATTTCTATTTTAAATGTACGTCCCACATTTTTATTTATTCCTCAGAAAAGAAGATGAAAAAAGATGAGAACTTCGCATTGTACTGTCATATCATTCATTTTTGATATCTATGATAAAAAAGAAAGAAAATGACGAAAGTAGGCTAATGATGTAGGGACACTCTGAATATTATAGAATATATGAAATACATTGTTAAGCTCTGGTACATATCCAGCTCTATCTAATTATACCTATTTATACCTATTTTGCCTATTTTGTTTACCTACTTCATCATCTTAGACTGAACCATAGAGTTCCTGAAATTTAGAGATGCGAAGATAACCAAATTACTGCTCCACTTTATCCTCTCATTCAAATCCTGCTATTTCCTATAATGCAAGCCATAGATATTCAGCAGAATAAATTATCAATTTCATAAACGGTTAAGAAGGACGATATTGATTCGAAAACATACTTACAATGATCTCGTTAAATTGTTGTAAATTTCACTGGATGAAATGATCATATTATTTCAGGGATCGCCATTATCACGAGCAGATTTACGAGCAGTAAATATAAATTTATGCGATATGTGTGTGATTGTATCAGCTCGTATACCAAATCCAAATGAAGATCCAACACTCGCTGATAAGGAGGCCATTTTAGCATCATTGAATATCAAGGCAATGCAGGTTTGTACCCATTACCAGTCCGAATTCTTGAATTATCTGTAAATATCAAGTAATATATTTATCGTTAATGATTAAAGCCAAACATCAATACTCCGAGGAAAGCTCCGAGAGATCAATTATATCTGTCTCTTTGCCGAATGACCCAAATATTTCGTCCACTACAGATATATGGATAAGAAATATTTTCTTAGTGCATTATTATAAATGGTGTTGAGATTTTTACACTTTGCTATCTTGAGGTGTTTCATCTTTAACTCTGAACTATCTATCACCTCCACTTCTTGTATCATTTTTGAGGGCAATTCAGTCGTCTTTTTTCTTATGGATAACATTTGGCAACGTTAACCGTTATCTCTTTCTCATTCAAGTTTCGTTTCCGTATCTCACAAATGATCTTTTTTTGCTTTTAACTTCAAGATATGAATGCAGCCATTACTTTAGTTTGATGATACCCTTGGTTTTTACCCGTTACGACAAACTGGTGGAACTGTCTCACCTCTTGGCAGTCCGCTGTCGTTACAAAAGAAAGGTGCACGATTTGGTACCAATGTGCCGATGATTACTGAGCTCGGTAAAGTGTTATTCTATTGTTTTTAAATCGAAACACAGTTGAAATCTTAGTGACCTCGTATTCGACCAAATACAACCAGATACTTTTTCGCAACGAAGTTCTATATGAATCCTGATGTTCCCCTAGGAGCTAGTTAGCTATTTTTTGTTGCTCATTCAGTATTTCTTTAAAGTTAACGACTCCAACGTACAATTCTTGGATCAGGATGATGATGATGATCCAGACACTGAGCTCTACCTCACTCAACCTTTCGCCTGCGGTACTGCTTTCGCAATATCTGTATTGGATTCTCTAATGAGCACCGTAAGTCTTTCCGCAATAGTGAAAAAATAACGGAGAGTTTGCTATAAGAAAAAAGACTTAGCAAGAAACAAAGTTCAAATGTTAACTTGAAGTGTGGTGTTTTTCCTTCTAATCTTGCAGACTTATTTTAATGATTCTGCCTTGACGCTGATTCGAACACTGGTAACAGGAGGTGCAACACCAGAAATGGAGTTAATATTAGCAGAGGGAGCAGGATTACGAGGCGGATATAGCACACCGGAAACGCTGAATAATCGGGACCGCTGCAGGATTTCACAATTAGCCCTACAAGACCGACCATTCGAAGGAATCACCGTAATCCGGTTTTCGTTGAGTGATTTGAATTACATCTACCAATGCAAACAAAAAAAGGAGGAAAAGAAAAATGGTTTCAGACGGGTAGCTCCTATGGCCAGATGTTCAGCACCGCACTGAAAAGACATGGACAACTTTGCATCGGGCTGTACCGGTTACACGATCAGGCGGCGGTCGATTCTAATAAACGATATGTCATAACAAATCCACCAGCCGAATTAAGACTATTATTAAGCGATTATGTATGTTCTATTTGCTCCTACTATAAACCTCTTAACCTACCATTCCCTCTATAAAAATGTAAAAATTACTGCATCACTAAAATTTTGGTCAAAATCGTTTTTATCAAAAGTCAAATATTGTGAGATACGTAATGACCGACGAAAGAAAATCAATAGGAAATTACCAAGACGCTTTTTACTTTTCAGGTTTATGTATTGGAACAATTTGATCCGGGTTTGGAATATGAGCCGAGGAAAAACTTTCTATGATTTGTTGTGTCAATCTGTTTTTGTTGTTTCATTTGAAAATGATATAGCTCAAGACTGCTCTACCTGCAACAGCCAATACGAAAAGAATGTCTCTGGCACTATGAAATAAAATGTGAAGCGAAGCTTAGCTTCAAATTGGCGCCTCTAAAGCAGATAACAAACCAAGTTCTCCCAAATTTATCATTACTTTTAAGCTGTTTTGCCTGTGGCTGTTGACTTACAATACGAGGAATATATAAATATACATATATAATCTGTCATAAAAATATGTACAAATTTACAACAAAACGACTGTTGAGTGACAAAATTCAACTGAAATGTGCCGGAGGAAGGAAACTTTCCTGTTTACTGTTATTATTTACCATTGCTCATTTTCATACTACCAAGACTGCGCATCGGCTGGATATCTTTATGCAACGTTTCAATCAAGTTTTTTAGTTCTTTGTTCCCACCTAGCATGTCGATATGCGAAAGCAGTAGATCGTGTAACTCTTGCAAACGTTTCAAGGTATATCTAGAAAGGGTATTCCAGAAATTATTAAGTAGAAGAGAAGTACAAAGATTCATAAATGTGAGAGAAAACTTTTAATATAGAAAAATGCTTACCCGAACGCTCCTCGTTCTTCTATAATTCGTATGCAATACTTCTTAACTTCCACATCTTTGGGCCTCTGACGTAATATGTCTGGAAGATTGTTTATTATTGTCTACAAATTAATGAAACCAAAAACTTTTTACGCAGCTGGTATCCTGCACACAATCAGAGTGTTGCACTCGTGCCAAGAAAATTCTTATAATTTGATTAAATGCTTTCAGACACATTAAATATCCGGTACTTACTAATAATTTCATCGTCGTTGTATTTTTTATCAATAGCAACTATAATAGGGAAGGAGAACTTTCCTTCCGTAAGATCTTCAGCAAATGTCTTCTGCTCTGCATACGCATGGGAACAAAGATTGATGTAATCATCTCTGCAATATATATCTAACCAATTAAAAAGAATGGAGCGAAAAAAAGTCAAAATATACGAACAAAAATTTTGGATTCGAAACAATTACCTGATCTGGAAATAAACAGCTAAATTTCTTATCAGCGATTTAAAGTCGTACTGCTTTTTCCCAAATAATTCCATCAGCTGTATTGTTAGCGCAAATAAACCACCCGTTTCTGAAAAATTATTCCAGTTAAAATGACCAACTCAGAGAAATGAAATTCATATTTCCTAATTGACGGCTGTTGAACTGTGTAACGTACTTTGCATCGCCATTTGCTCGTACTCCTCCTCGGTTGGACATTGAACTGTATCTCGCCAATACAATTCCTTCCCTTGTCCACGATGCAGTTCCAGTAACTGCTCTAAATTTTATGGAATTAAACGGACAGCTACTAATTAGTACCATTATTTTCATGCGAACCCTTCACATGCAGTTCGAATATCGCTTCTCCTTCTTTGTAAAATGACGAAAGAATGTAAAACTGTGTCAAGACCAAATGCACCGAATTCTTTCGTTCCCAAAATCCTTACCAAATTTAAATCCAAGTTGCCTTCTAAAGCTACAACAATGAGTTGGTAAATTATAAAAACTAAAAAGACAAGAAAATAGATGTATAGGAACCAGTAAAAATCTTCACAGCTTCAAATTTGCCCAACAATATGCACCTAGAGAGTGCTGCGAAATACACATAGTTCGCTGTATTAATCGTACGTGGAATACCATAAATGCTATGTGTTACCGGTAATCCACGCCGTAGCAGCGAACTATCCTCGATATCATCAATCCTGCAAGTTTAGTTGATGCAGCACAAACACTCAAACACATCCTTATGAAGATTGGGAAACTTGGAACCAATGGAGGGTTTGGGAAATAACAAGCGGTTGAAACTAATAACTTCCTACAACCAAGTAACACATTTAGCTTACATAAGTGATGCATTGTGAAGCATTTCGACCACAGTCATGATAGAATCCAGTACCTCCACGTCGACTTGTAACCAGGAATTAAATGCTTTCGCTAATTGGCTCCTTAACTGCTTTCCAGGTAACTTCAGTATATATTGGTACGGTGCAAGTAACTGTGTCACATCATCCGCCATCTCGCACGAAAACGCGCAAACTGTGGAGGAAACAACTAACTAGAAACCATATGATGTCAACTTTAAGAAATGAGGTAAAATGTAAAACAAAAAAGAGAAACAAGATCCCAAACTTCAAAAGCAAATGAATAACTTATTGTTATTTAGCCATAAACTGTAAAGATATCTGGTAGTCGCTGTTCGGTATGAAATTAAGAAATGCGTTTACATTGTAAATAATTTTTATTTACACTAGACAGCTATATGAAATAGGCATAACAGGTGAGATCAGTTTGCTGCTGCTGTTTCTGTTCCTCGAACATATTCCACGCATTTGCTAGGGTCTGTTGGGAAATATTTTTGACATCGAGTCATTATTCTTTTAAAAGCCTGAAATGCTTATACTGAATTCTCAAAGTTACCGCATCACGACCAGCAAAAGATTTTTTTATTGATCGTCCCACCCAATACTCTTGTATAGAAAATTTTCACATTGAACTGAACAGTAGAATCATGTTTACTATCTTCATTATATCATTCTAAACCAAATGAAAATTTACAGTGCTGACGGACATTTACTTGAGAGTGAAACTAAGTGAAATATTTCAAAAGCATATTTCATAAATGATATTCAGTGAAAACCTGTATGTATTTCCGTTGTGTCTCATCATTAAGTACATGGGCTATATTTGAAACATAAGCTTTTGCCGAGCCAGGCCGCTGATGCAAACCAGACCTTGTCACACCCACAGGCCATGGAGCATTACCTATTGCCATTTCCATGTATGCATTATTTGCTCTGCAAGAATACCATTACTAATGATTTGAATATACAGAATCTAACAAATGTGAAAACCTTACGAAAGGAAATTAAAATCGACTTCAATATATAGTTTACATATTTTAGCAAACAAACCGGATATAATCGCGATCAATTATGATGAGACGACAAATTTTGATCAAATGTTGTCGAATATCAGCATTTACATTGTGTTTCTCCAGATTTTTCATCAACGGACGAAGATGTTCCATTGTTTGCTTATGCATCGTTGCCGCCAATTTACCTTCTGCTGATCTGGAATATCAAGTTTTGACTTTTCCCTGATATCTGAAATATGGGTAACAAAGAGAAGACGAGGCAACTTCATTAAGCAGTTAGTCGAAAATCCAAGCGAATTTCCATCTGTAACCAAAACTAATAGCACGATCTAAACAAATCTCACTTTTTTTGTGAGGACTTTTTAAAGACTTTGCTGAAGTAGTAAACTCGAAAAAAAACTTTTTAGGCTGGAAATGCTGAAGCGTTAATTAGCACTTCTTATACCAACAGAACTAACAACTACCTTATACTACGTCAGCTAAGCCAAAAAGCCAACCCATATACCGGAACTGTGTAAAATGATATAATTAAAAGAAATAGCATACCTTTTTTCAACTTCATCGCGAGCATTCAATGCTTTACCCCACCGAGTTAATATGTAAGAGAAGAATTCTCGAATAACATCACAGTCTCTATTCGGATTATCGCCTTCACCTAGTAATTGAGCATTAGCTTCTATCCTTTCCCAATTAGTATCGCCTGTGGAGTTTGGCATAGCAACATCGTGTTTACCTGGAAGCTCGACACTGTTTTAATTCGAACAGCAGTTGAACAAAGACAATGTCTTAATTTATGTTATCTGAGGCAAGCAAGGCATGAAATTAATATATGAATACATATTTTCCAATATACTTTCTGATACATATGTTTGCAGTTGGTTCCTTTTTTGTTCGCAAGCAAAAAGTAAACAAACTGCAAACATATCTATCAGAAAGTACATTAAAAGGAAATATACATATACATAGCCCGAACGTCTTAAATCCATTACAATTTGATGTGTAATAAGTAACTATCAATAATCAGACAAGCTTTACAGAGAAAAACTTCATCCCATCCAGCTTCCCAAGTTTACAAGACATTCAAGGAAGAAAACAAACAATTTTTAACTTAAAATAAAAGAGCCCGACTACTCCCTAATCTCAAAGATTTGACTTACATGAGAAAGATGATATGCAGAACTAACCAGCGTTATACTGCTCTCCTTTGATAACTTCTTCTATCAGTTCATGGTCAACCTCTTTCATTGCCGACTGGAAATCATTTTTCCATCCTTCTTTCATATCGGGCTGGATAGAAGACAACAGATAAACTGATAAAACGGAATACAACTTCATATAAATGTAAATGGCACTATATAACGGCAAAAATATACGGCAAAAAATGAAACCGCACCAAGAATCAGACACTTACTTGCTCGATTTCAAGTTTACGAAGCCGAGCTCGAGACTCTTGTTCTGTTTCACCAAACAACGTAATCGGTTGACTCCGACTCCTTAGTCTTTTAATGACATCTGTTCGTGGCAAATCATCACAGTTCAACTCCGGTTCAGTGCGCAATTCCTTCGGTTGATTTTCGGTCCGTATCGAACCTCCATTTTTCGCCTACCAAAAAATACATTAGAATCAAGGTCGGAAAAAAATACAATTTTACAAATCTAAACGTTCAAACTTAAGTGTTCAAAGCCATAATATGACGCTCAAGGTCGGAGAATCATCATATATAATTAATGTGAAATCATTATATATAACTAACATATATAATTAGCTTTCAGAGTGACAAAAGACAGGATACATGAACTTACAACAGTTGCAGCAACCAATGCTACTGTTTGCTGTTTTGCTTGGTAACTCTCCCGACTCTTCTCTTCCTCCTTCTGGAGCAATTCGCTGCGTTTCAAATACTTCTTATCTGGAGCCTACAATAAACCATAGCAACTTATTCGAGAAGCGCAAACCTATTCACCTATATATACATGTACACATATGTATCTTTCCAACTAATCTGTTTTCATTTCAGTAATATCTTGTCGTGCAATACCTCACAGTAGCATATTTCTCGTAAATACTATCGCTGTCACCAACCATATTTTCCAATAAAAACGATACATGCTGACCAATTGAACTCATTAAAAGTGGATAAACTTCAATAAGCAAATATGAAAATACCTTAATTCCCTCAAATTGCTTTCGTT